CTCCCAGACTAGAACAGCAGGACAGCAAAAGTCACGCTTTGATACACGCGCAGGGCGCATCCACCTCACCAGTGTGGATGTTATAAACCTTCACTAAAGTCTGTGTTTGTTACGCGGGGTGTGTGTGTGTGTGTGTGTGTGTGTGTGTGTGTGCGTGCGTGCGTGCGTGCGTGCGTGCGGGGTGGGGGTGTCTGCCGCGGATAACAGAGCAGGCAGGAGGGGGAGAGGATGAGTAGAAGAGCAGTGAACTTACTTCTAATTTTATCTGGCTTATATAATTCAATTTTTATTGTTTTTATCGTCCTGCAGGCTCTGATGGAAAATTAATTTGAAGCTGAGTTTTATTTATTTTTTCATTTTTTATAAAAATTGTTAGATTACTCTAAAGCAAAATGAGGTAAAATCTGTGTCGGAGCGTGTCTGAGCCAATCACTGATCAGCTGACTGATTTAAATACATCTTAACATTCATGAGGTACTTTACATTGACTGTTTATGGTTGATTGTGGGCGTGTAGAGGGTAGAACCTGAGGCGGGACCTCGTGTGCAAACTCAGAGTGCGGCTGTGATTTATAAAAGAAAGATGCACAGAAACGTGCATACGCACTGTTTTATAAATCTGAATTTTTTTTGGCGTACGCCATTTCCGCCTTTTGGCCGTATGTTCACTTTTAGTGTGGTTTCTACACAATCCTTTATAAATGAGACCCCAGGATGTGACACAAAAATCTGAATTATGGAACTGAAAGTGAAAGAAGTCAAACAGATTTTTTATTAAACCAAAATATAGTTTGAAAGCAAATTAATTCAGATACAAAACTTTAAATTCGGTTTCAATTTAGTGAAAATAATTTTCAAACCAATTTCAAATTATGAACATTCAGATTCAATCTGAGCAATTCAAATTCAATTCCTGCTGACACAAGATTGATCCCATAGTTTTGTGTTTGAGGCACAGAAATGCTGAGTCAGCAGTGTTGTGACTCTGACCTTTCAGGAGTTTGATCACCACTGTCCATGGGTCAACAACTGCATCGGCAGGAGAAACTACCGCTACTTCTTTCTCTTCCTGCTGTCTTTGACTGCTCATATCTTGGCTGTGTTCGGCTTCAGTCTGCTGTTTATYCTCTACCACCGGCAGAACATCGATCGCCTGCACGCCATCGTCACGTATCCTTTCAGATCACTCTGTTTCAGACCACTAATGAAGTGTTTGTATCATATGTCTAAGGTTAGACTCAAAAAAGAGGTTTTCTGCCTTCATTAGGATTTCTACAGAAAGTGTTGAAAAGATACACAGCAGGTAAAATAAGAATTGAACACGTCACCATTTTTCTCAGTAAATATATTACTAGAGGTGCTAATGACATGAAATTTTCACCAGATGTTGGTAACAACCCAAGTGATCCATACATACAAAGAAATCAAAACATAAATGTTCAGAAATGAAGTTATTTGTTCTTATGGACTAATTATCTATCTGTTTCACCTGTTCAGTGTTAATCTGTGTTGGCCCAGACAACAGGACTCCGCAACAGAC